CGGTAAACGCGGGCGGCGGGAAGCGAAGGCAGCTTCGCACCCCTCGGAGCGGGGCCCGGGCCTGGCTTCGGGGCCTTTCAGCGCCGCCTCTGGCCCCGTCGCTCGTGCTCGGACCGCGTCTGTGCTGAGGAGTTTCCTTTGGGCTGCCCGGGAGCAGAACTGAACCGCCAGGCACGGCCCCCGGCTGGGGCAGGTCGGCTCCCCGGGCCACGCTAACCCGGCCCGACCCTGCCCGGCCGGGGAGCGTTTAACAGTCTTGTCGGGGACATTGGCTCAAGGGGCGAATCGGGGCCAAGTGCAGCCTCCCCAGGGGAGGTTACAGGCTTTCATCGCTACTCCCGACCCAGAGCAGCAAGGAGTCCGGTGGGCCAGGTGGAGATGACCTGTTCTCCAAGCATCAGGTGACAGCTTCTTCAAACAGGCCTCGTCTGTATTGTGGGAGTACCCAGCCCTGCTCTGGAACCCGCTGCACTAGGCCCCCAGCCAACGTGGCAGGAAGGGTCTGTCTGCACTGCGCTACGCTACACCCGCAGGCTCAGTCTAGGGGCACCAGGTGGAGATATTCAGGGAGCCTGAGCTCTGAGATCCTTCCACCTCACAAGGTCCTAGATTCCTGCCCCCCCCCCACCCCCCTTCTGACCATCACCCTGCAATTAGAGGCTCTTTAGCTCCCAAGGCTCAGGCTGAGCCAGCCGTGGGTTTCTACAGCCTCCTGAGCTGCAAGGAGTGGATAGGGACAGGCCCGCGAGAGGCAGCAGCAGGGAAGCCATGCCCAGGGGGCTGACGCAGGAGGGTTCAAAGCATCGATCTGTTCCCTCTACAAGTCTCTGCCACTTCACCCTCACCAGTCAGTTTCTAGTAAGGATGTTGCCGCACAAAGTCCTCAGGAATTTGACTCAATTCCACTTACAAGGAGCGGAGGACACAGGGCAGCGAACCAGGGGTCTGTGAGCGGCTGCTGCATCCGTAGGCGCTGCTCTTGGGGCTGGTGATTTAATTCCATGCAGGGGGAACAGGGCAGCTGGGCGAACAGTCGCTGGGTGAATTCAGTGCTGGGGGAAGGACACGGGGGAGAATTCCCCAGGGCAGATCTAGCAGCATGCTTGTGGCTCTCAAGCCTCCCCCAGGCCGGGTGACATGGGGGCTACATCCATACTGCACTCACTTGTGCAAGAAAATATGCAAATGAGGCAAAGTGGTAAATATGGCTACTCCTCGTTTGCATACATAATGAGCCACCATTTTGCACAAGGGGCTTCTGTGCAAAAAGCCATCTACACAGCTCCTTTTTTGGACAAAACCCCCCTCTTGTGCAAGAGCCGTTCTGCCTGGAAAAAGCAGTAGAACAGCTCTTGCGCAAAAGCCCCTTGCACAAAATAGCAGCTCATTAAGTATGAAATTAGGCACAGCAATATTCACCGCTTCCCTCATTTGCATATTTTCTGATGCAAGAGAGCGCAGTATAGACAGCTTGTGTGGATTTCGGCTGTCTCCAGGGCCCATCCAGCAGTGGGAGATGCCTCCATCCCAGCCTCCCGCAAAGAGGCCCGACGGGAACGGAATCTGTATGGTGTCGTATCAGGCAGCTTCACAGCATCTCCCAGCTCCCTCTCCGCGCCTCCCCCTCCCCAGCTTTGCTGGGACCAGCGGCCAGGAGTCTTCCAAGCGGCCGTGGAAGCGCTGAGCCGTCCTACGTACACAACAGCCACGCTGCTGCCGGGAGTGGGCGCGGTGCCGCGGTAATTGTGTCTCTGCGGATCTCACGCCCTAGAACTCGGCTCCGCCATGAGGGAGACAATTACTAGTTCCTGCAGCAGGCGCTCCTGGGAGCTTAGCCATGGTGGATTCCCAGAGCAGGCGCTAGGGGTCCTGGGGAACAAAAAGAAAACAGGCCACGTACCTGACACACACCCCAGCTGTATCTGACAAATTTATTGAACCAGAAGTGGGAGCTAGCAAAGGAAAATCAGTCATTGGCTTGAATTATTGCATATTTCTCCATGACCAGGAAAGGTGAAACGGAAAAGGATACACACACCGGGGTAAGAAGGGAGCCTTCGGCCAAAAGTATCATTCAGCACATTCTTTAAAATAGAATACAAATGGGAGAGACGTGACAAGGGACTCCCTCCCCTACGGCGAGGGGCGCGACCCCCGCGAGGGGCTGGCGGCTGTGCAAAGCGGCTCATTGATTACATGGTGAGGGGCGGCAGCGCGAGAGGACAGAGAACGCAGGGCGCCCTGAGGGAGGTGCTGGCCGCGGGGCCTTCCCCGGAGCTCAGGTCAGCATGTCCCAAAGGCAGCAGCAGCACAGAGCGGTCCAGCACGCCGTCAGGCAGGTACTCTCCCCCGTGTTGTCCCTTCGCCGCTCCTCCACCACGTACACTGCGGGGAAAAGGAGGAGGGTCAGAAGGGCTGAGTGCGGGCTGGGCAGCAGATCGCCTGGCCAAGGGCCGAGGTCTCGGCCAGACCCGCCAGTTAGCTCTGGCCTCTGTCACGCGGGCGGGCACGGCAGGGGCAGGCTCTGACGCGAAGCCCTCCGCACACCCAACCCCCCGCCCCGGGGGAGACGCTTGGCAGGGCCGCATCCGCGAGGGCGGGGCTCGTTACGGGGCTCCCCGTCGCACTGTGAGGGTCAGAGTGTGGCACCTGCGGGAGGAACGTGGAGACTTGCTCCTTCACACCAAGCCGGCGTCTCTCGGGCAGCCTGGCGGTGAGCGACTCTCCGCAGCAGCATCCGGACCAGAACCCGGCCTCCATCCTCCTCCCAAGGCCCCTCGGCCCAGCCCCACTGGCCCCGGAGCAGCACTGCGCCCCGGCCACACAGACACAGCTTCAGAGTGTGGCACCTGCGGGAGGAACGTGGAGACTTGCTCCTTCACACCAAGCCGGCGTCTCTCGGGCAGCCTGGCGGTGAGCGACTCTCCGCAGCAGCATCCGGACCAGAACCCGGCCTCCATCCTCCTCCCAAGGCCCCTCGGCCCAGCCCCACTGGCCCCGGAGCAGCACTGCGCCCCGGCCACACAGACACAGCTTCCTCGAGCCCCTTTACCAACGTCCCGGCTCTGAAGCCGCCACACGCCAAGGGGCAGCAGGCGCCGACCAGCCAGGGCCGGTCTCTCGTTACACTAATTGAGCAAGAAAACTGGCTTAGCAGGAA